AAGATAGCAGAAAACTGGGGAGTGTTTAAGAGAAAAGTGACAAGAATTGTAGAAGCATGTTTTTGTGGAAATAGATTTAGATATCTTAAAAGCATATTAAACAGAGGCACGACAAAAATATGTGACATAATTGCTAGAAGTAAGCCAGAATCTCACTTCTCTCTGCCTTAGCAGAAAAATATGGTGACACATTATTAAATCAAAAGGTAGCAAATTTAACAGAAGTGATACCATCAGTTTTTACTTAGTATTTATGCTGTGGGACTCATTATTTGGTAATGCTGAGATAGAAAAAAAAAAAAAGTAAGTTTGAAAACAATTAGGTGTTTATGTGGAAAACAAGAATGTGTGGAGTTAAACTGACTAAACAAGTATTGCAGGGGATCTTCAACTTATTTGAAGACTTAAATAGATCTCTGCATATTGGAGACTAGGTGAGATTTTATGAAGTCAGATTGCCAAAAATAGTAATATTCTGGGTTTTCTGCACGTTCCTCAGGAGCCTTCAAAGGCCATTGTCTGAGGTAGGATGCTGAACAGGCCTGATCTGTGATTCAGACTCCTTCTGCCCATATTCTTAGTGTCACCTAGTGCACAAAATTCACTGCTTGTAGCCCAATTATTATGACTGAATAATAACACTACCATCTTTAAGGCTAATAGCAAAATTTAAAAGTACTTATTGAAACCTTTGCTGAAGAAGCCATACAAAGAATGAAAACAAACAAACAAGCAAGCAAATCATTGACCTTTTTAACTTGAAAACTGCCAACCAACCAATAGTTTGAATTCAGAAGGTGAAATTATTTTCTGATAAAAAAATCAAATTCTAAAAAGGAAATAAATTTTTTTTCTGAAATTTTTCAAATATTATTCACCCCTACCCCTCAGTTACGGTATATATTCTTGAGCACCACCTACTGGTGCTGTATTATTAATCGACTATACAAATCACCTCTCTAAGTAAATGAAATTGAATCATATAGTCTTTCAAAATATATTTAAAATTGAGAAGGCAGAACATAATCTATTATTTATTAAATTAATCTTTCCTCTTAATAACAAAGACAAAACCAATAATGGTGAAATACACTTAGAATCTGAACAAAAGGGAAATAGAATATTTCTTAATAATCCTCAACCAGAAAACATACGCAATTCTATGAAATTATTTCCAATTTACACTTGCTCTCATCCTGTTAGAGCAACAAAATGTTTTTCTTCATTTCATATTTAGGTATTTATTATATTATATAATACCTGTAATATAGCCAGTGTCTTCCATTTTATTTCTTCATTTCAGACTATATTAAATAATATTTCTCTTGAGATGGTCACACCAGTTTTGGATTGAAAATTTTCCCTGACTTATAGCAGGGAAATACAATTTGGTGTAATGCAGCAGAATCTGTAACACAGAGTAGAAAGTCTAGTCTTGCCAAAGGGGATTTTAAAGGGCCTTGCCTATCTGAATAAAGTGAGATTTGGGGAACAGACCACTTCTATATAAGCTAAAAGGCTCAGCAAAAATATCCCTCAACTCTTACCTGTAAATTGACTCTACAGCAAGTTTATTGTGCACACAGAAGGACATATCTAAGTGTCTGTAACTCTGGAGTCAGTTACACATGATGATAATAATAAAGAATTAAGAACAAAGATTAAAGTCTTCGTTGAAAAACCCTTCTATGAAGATTTTTTTTTAAAATGTGTGCCTTCAGTATTGGAGATAGACTGTCTTACTTGCTCAAAGGAGTGACACTGAAGGCTGCAACAGTGACCTTGACTTGAGAAGAGGCCCCTAAGAGTGACAGGTGATGAAATGAGGGAACAGACCATTCTCCAAAGCCACTTGCTTTAAATTGTGGTCTTCCTTTTAAAATTTGTCACCAAAATGACAGTGAATTATAATTACAATTCCAATTGTGTTGAATTTCGTGCTGTGTTCACTAAAATCTGGTCTGAAATCATGTAGCTGTTGTCACCAAGATATCAAAGATCTCAAAGTGCTACTGCAGATTGGAAAAAAACCCAAACACAACCAACCAACAAACAACTAAACATATTATTTAATTTATTCCATCCAGTATATTAAAATGGATAAGCTGCATTTTTCTCACTAATATAGAGATTACTTAAAAATACTACTTTCCTCTCTCTTTCCTAGTTTGGATGAAGCCCAATCTTGCTGAAACAATTGCACTGAGTCTAGAAAGCAGCACTATAAATTTAGCCTTCACTATGTTGTGCCTATCCCTACCACACTGAGTGACATAACACGTCTTTCAGTGCCTTGATACTTTGTAGTACAGATGGTACCACGTGTATCATGCAGGGCTGACAGCCCTCCCATGAAACAGTGTGGGATTACATTAATACATTATTCCTAGGTTTTAATAGAGGTACTCAAACAAGATGGATCTACTCAATATTTCCAGGTTATGTGTATAGGTTCACTTTACAAAGGCCGATCAGACTGTAGTTTGGGAATAAATGTACATACCAAATAGTACCATTCCAAACACAAATGATCTGCATGCCCAAATTAAACAAACATACTGTCCCATTTCTATTTATTTATATTTTGCAAACTTAAACATATCCTGACTCTCACTTCTAGACTATCAAAATGCCAGGTTTTTCTTATCTCAAATGTTGCATGACACCTGGCAAACAAAATTATTTCTCAAGTTGGCCTCAGTCCAAGAAGAAAGGGACCTGCAAGTGGATCATGGATATTTGTATACTTAGAAAAATGGTATAGCTTATTTTAGTTAGTTAACAGTCATTAAAACCTGCATTGTTCAAGTCTAATTGCAGTAAATCTTGTAAAGAAATCTGCAGAGTGCTCTGTGTTCCCATCCCATCCCATCCCATCCTTCTGTTCTTCAGCTCCCATCATTCACCTAAGAATGCTTTGTGCGACTTCCACCCTTTCCTTCAATTTGTAGACAGAGAGTCTAAGGAGTCTTCACAGAATTGAAAAGTGCAAATTAGTCACCATGTTGGAATATCTAAGAGATTTCTAAAGACAGTAGTTTACCATATATTGTGCATTTATTATTTTTTCATTTCCACTCACAATGAAAGGCACTACAACTTGCCAATGCTATGGGAACAGGTGAAACAGTTCATTCAGGATGGTTTTTTTGTGACTTATCCCCCAGTTCTTCATCTAATATAGAGGAGATGAAAAAAGTATTTAAATAAATGCATTTAAATGCTATATAAATGCATTGTGTGTACACCTCTGATTTATTCTCTTCATATCACCCTGTCAATGGACCAAAATTCCCTTGAAGTATTTCAAGCAACATGATGATCACCCACATGGAATGTCACCCAGTATGGAATGTCACCAAATCTGAGAGAATAAGATTATCTCTAAGCCAGTAGCAATTCAGTTTTCATTGCATTGCATTTGCTGGGCAGATCCTGCATATCTCCCACATTGTCCTTGGTCAGATATTTTTTGTTTTATTTTGACAACAGCGACATAAAGTATTTACGATTGTAAAAGCTATGAGGGATGTGGTTTACAGCTTGTACCTATGGAAAATACAGTAAAAAGCTATAACTGTGTTTTCGTTTACTTTGGTCAAGTGCTTTGTGACCAGCAATACCTCTGATCAGAATTTGTGCAGCGTGTAATTGTAATCATAAAAGCTCTGTATTATTGGAATTCACACCTTACAGGATCTGGAACGGGGTTGTAGGGGAGAAAACAGTCTACTTTAAGGACTGATTGGTTTGGAAGCTTTCCAGAAACTTTCATTTTCGGTGTGGGTGGGAGGTCGTATAGCCACGTTACATATGAACTTAGAAGGTGTGGAGGGGCAGTACTGCCCCACAGCCTCAGCAGGGCCTTGTGTTCTGTGCAGAATGGCAGCGGTGGAGTGCACGGCAGCCAGGCTGAGCGCAGCTGACTGACAGCAGCATTTATTAAAATGTCATCTCCTAATTTTCACGCCGGATATCTGTTGTCGTGTAGACTGCCCCAATATCTCACGCCAGCGGGAAGGGCCAGAGAATAACCCAACTCGCCCTGAGGAACGGGAGGGACCCAGCCTGAGGGGAGGGGAAAAAAAAGCGTATCCAACCCTACCCAGCTGTAGCAAAATAATAATTAAAAAAAAAAAAAAAAGGGGGGGGTGGGGAGGATGCCCTCTCTGTGGCACGTCTCTTTCCACAAACCTCCCCCTTCTGTCGGACCCCACACGCTGATACCGGGAGCACTTTAGCCGCTGTCGCCTCTCAAACTCCGCTCGCAGCGGGGGCAGTGTCTCTCCCGTGCCAAGCACCCGGCACTGGGCACAGCTCCGGGAAACCCATCGGCTTCCCCATCCCTCCCGTGCGGAGGGCGGCCGGCAGCGGCCGGGCAATGGATGCGGCCGGAATCGGGCACAGCCTTATCTCTGCCAGGGAACAAACACGGCGTTAATTGCAGCCGCTCTGAGGAAATTGCTATTGTTTCCAGTCAAAGGCGGGCGGCAATTTGAGCGAGTTTATCCCGGGAGCACTGTATCAGTTAATCTGCATCGCGGGGCCGAGCCGGCAGCTCCTGGGGCTGCGGCGAGGGGGGGATTGTGCTTTGGAAATAAAAACAAGAGGAGGGAGATCAAGCGCGGGCTTCCCGCCCCGGCGTCCCCGTTTCCCTCGCTCCCCGCCCGTGGGTTTTTCCTGCGCCGAGGCGCAGCCCCAGCTCTGAGCACGGCGCACAGAACACCCCTCTCAGTGCGCGGCCAGCAGCGTTTCTGGGGCGCGCTCGGGGCCGCGCATCGGGGACGCGCGGAACGCACCGCAGGCCCGCCCGCCGGGGTCGGTGTCAGTGTCGGGGCCGCGCCGTGCACACGCGCGGACGCGCGCGGAGCGGGGCGCAGGGGCGCGCACGCAGACAGCCCCGGCGGGGGCCGCGCACATGCGCGCACTCACGGCCCGGCACTCACGGGGGCGGGCGGGCGCTCGCACACGCGCGGGCGCGCACACGGGCGCGCACCCGGAGCCACACGCAGCGGCACAGACGCGTTCCCGGTCCCGCCGTGCTCCCTGCGCGCCCGGCAGCGCTCGCACCGCTCCCCGACATCGGCAGCCAAGGACCCCCCCGCCGCTGTCCGGCCATTAGTGCCTGGGGGGGGGAGGAGGAGGAGGAGGGAGGAAGGAGGAATAAGTCTATTAGTAATAACAACAACAACAACAAAACCCACCAACAAATCCGCACTAGCGCCTTAGTCCTTCTCTCAGACCGTCGACTGCCTGGCATCGCCGTGCATCGGGCTGCTGTGCTGGGACTTTGTTTCAAGTAAAAAAAAAAAAAAAAGCAAACAAACAAAAAAACCTTCGCTTGCTCAGCCACTTCCATTTTTTCCCCTGCAGTCTCGCTGGTTTGAGGTGGTTGTTTTTTGTTGTTGGTTTTTTTTTTTCCTTTTTCCCTTCATGTGGTTGGATTTGGTGGATCCGGAGGCAAAGCTGCTTTTTTTCCTCGGTGGGGTGTGCGTGTGGCGTGCGGGGATTTTCTCGCTGCGTTTTTTATCTTCTGCTGCTTTTTTTAATCTTGGTTTTGAACCTGAGCCGGGAAAAATGGGAAACGGTGCTTCCGTCAGAAGGGGAATCTCTCCATCACTGTTGTTGGGACGTGTGCCTGTGGTGCTAGTGTTTTAGAGAAATAGCCTGACAGCTTTCGGAGTGGAAGGTAAGGGTGCCCGGGGCATTTCCATTTCCCATTTCCAGGGATTACGACTGGAGAGCTTTTAGTTTGGGATTCCGGGGAGGAGGCGGCGGAGGAGGGGGACAGGCTGTTGCTGAAAGATAGAGAGAGAGAGAGAGAGAGAGAGAGAGAGAGAGAGACAGCACATACGAAATGATCTCCGCATTTACTTCAGCGCTGCAGTTTAAAAGTTAGAGAAGTCCGTCTTGCGACAGGTCTGCTTCCCTGAGAGTAATTTCCAGCGAGACCGAGAAAACCTGAGGTTTGTGCACGATTGGGGTAATTTGGATTGAGGGGAGGAGGGGGGGGGGGATGTTAGGTTAATAGGAAGTTAAAATAAGAGAAGTCAGTGGGTCTTCTGCTGGGGAAAAAAAAATAAATGGAGTGATGGCGCCGTCTATGTTCGGCTAAACTACAGTGTCACCTAGAAAATCAGTTTGGGGAATATCCAAACTAAATGCCCGTTTCTTTTCAGCAGAAGAGGATTCTCCCCCTACCCAAATGGGCAGCCTTAAACCTCTGTGGCCGTTCTTTAACCCCCTCCTCCATGGACAAGAAAGATCTTTTTAATCTGAGTGTTTAATCCTTTCAGTGAGCAGATTCATTCTACATCTAGCTATACTGCAAACTAACTGAAATGCTGCCGGCACACTCAGATCGTGTGTCTCTGTGCATGTGTGTGTGTGTATAATGCACACAGAGAGAGAGAGATTAAGCCACTCTTGTGTTTCTGTAGCCTTGTATGAACAAATGCACAACTAAAATGACGGCTGATTACATTTCTTCATAGAAAACAGCCTAGCACTGCAGACGTCTTTATTTTTCTAGTGCAGATATTACATAGGATGGGAAAAGTCAGAGGCATTTTTTCCCTTTCAAACGGAAAAGTAAATAAGATCCCTTTCTGCTTTCCAGATTATAAAATTAATCCTTTTTCATGGGTGGAATTCTTAATTTAGACACTTATTGTCACATTGGCTTTCAACGCCTACACCATCCTGAATAACACTGCGCAGAACTGCATTGCCTGCAAAGTGCTTCAGCAAAGGGGAAATTGTTTCCAGAATTCCCAATAAGTTTCTGTTTCTTAAAACCTTAAATGCTGTACCAACCCTATTTGGAGAAGGAGGACCATGTTATTCACTGAGATGGATGCTCAGAAAGCAGAAAATCTGACTGTATGGATAGACCCAGCAGCAGCTCTGCCTTTTTTTTTTTTTTTTTTTTTTTTAAAAACCTCTGCTATAAAGAGGGTTAGAGTTGGTGCTGCTTTTTGCCCATTTCAGGATTCAGAGTTTGCATTATAATCTAGGAGATACGAAAATCTCTTCAAGGGAGCTTAATCCGGTGACTTGCTGTGTGTTACGCAATGGGAAACAGAAGATGCCTTGCTGTTTGGTGAGGAGATGAAAAGCTGGGCAAAGACACACATCAAAACTCAGTAACGGTGCCTGTGTGTATGTCTGCCTCTGCTTACTGAGCAACAGTGGAAGAGACCTCAATTTAGAGAGTTTTGAAATTAGGTTAGTATCACTGCTTTCTGCTTGCATTTAAGAGAAGAAAGCAAAAAGCTACTCATTTGTAAGAGTCAAGCAACTTCTCAAAGGTTAATAATGAAAACGGTCAATTTGAATTTCTTTTGGTATTGTTACAGAGATAAATATAACTAAGGTTTGCTGTATTAACCTAGGCCACTGTTATGAGAACAGAGCATGTGGAGGTTGTGAGGGTTGACAGGTGCAGTAAGACAGCTTTATTTGGAGATACTAGCAGAGAAAATGTAGCATGTCTTTCATTGTTCAAGCACACGGCTGCAAAACACAGGAACTAATCAGAACAATGCAAGATATTTGTAATAAGAGGGCAAGTGCAGTCCAATAGGTGCAGAGATCCTACTGTGGCACTGCCAGCTATATAGAGCTGCTGGTTGTAGATACTAATACTGTAAACTATTTTATATATCCTTAAAGGTTGAAGCTATTGAAACTATTATCTTAAAAAGCTGTCATTTAGTGGTAGTGTCAGACCAGCAATAGTTTAATCTTTTTTTTTGTTTGTTTCTTTCTTCAGTAGTGTCAAAATTTACATTAATCTCAGTATTTGCTGCCTGAGTTTCGTTTTTATAGAGATCTCTATATACCAGGTGGCCGGGGTGAAGGCATGTAGGCATACGGGAGATAATGTTCCATCTGTGACAAATAGTAATTTGTGCATTTTTAAATTATGGCTGTAATTCTTCAGTTACTTCTCAGACTTAATAGAAAAATAATGTATAACAACAAATGCTACCAGTTTTCTTGTTCTATTCCGGTGAAAATCTGCATGTGCATATATGACTAAAGCAGATTACTTATTTACTTTTTGAAGAAATAAATAAATAAATTTCCCCTCTCTTGGTCTGTCGGGTAAGGCATCTAGGCTTTTGCTTAAGTTGAGCAGTTCTAGTCCACGCCATGATGACTACATCCTAGAGAGGAGAGGACGTTCCTATTAATAATCTAATAGATGTTGAGTTTTAATTTGCCTATGGAAGACGTGTCTGTCGCGGTGGCCACATGATGGCGCTGTGAACACAGCGGCAACCCCGGCCCTTGCGTTATAAAATAAAAATTACCTGCCCTTCTTTCTGAAAGGGGTTCTAACTGCAAGCTTGAAAACAGCTGGCTCGAATATTGGAAGGAGTTTGGTTTTCTATGCGTGAAGAATTCTACTTGCATTTTTATTTCATTTCATCTCCTGCAGGCCAAATGACATAGGATGAAGGCTGTTCGTAATTTGCTGATTTATATATTTTCCACCTATCTACTGGTTATGTTTGGATTTAATGCTGCCCAAGACTTCTGGTGTTCCACGTTGGTGAAGGGGGTCATTTATGGATCGTATTCTGTAAGTGAAATGTTTCCTAAAAACTTCACAAACTGCACTTGGACGCTGGAAAACCCAGATCCAACCAAATATAGTATTTACCTGAAATTTTCCAAAAAGGACTTCAGATGCTCCAACTTTTCCCTCTTGGCTTATCAGTTTGATCATTTTTCCCATGAAAAAATAAAGGATCTTTTAAAGAATAACCATTCTATAATGCAGCTCTGCAATTCCAAGAATGCTTTTGTATTTCTGCAGTATGATAAGAATTTTATTCAGATACGTCGCGTCTATCCTATCAACTTCCTGGGATTACACAAAAAAGAAGAAGACCAAAAATCCTTCTTTGAATTTTTGGTGTTGAACAAGGTGAGCCCAAGCCAGTTTGGGTGCCATGTGTTATGCACTTGGTTGGAGAGCTGCTTGAAATCCGAGAACGGGAGAACTGAGTCCTGTGGGATCATGTATACAAAATGCACCTGCCCTCAGCATTTGGGAGAATGGGGAATAGACGACCAGTCCCTGGTGTTGCTCAATAACGTGGTGCTGCCCCTCAACGAGCAGACAGAAGGCTGCCTGACCCAGGAGCTGCAAACCACCCAGGTCTGCAATCTCACCAGAGAAGCCAAAAGGCCGCCAAAAGAAGGTAGGTGCTTCTTGGAGGGGGGCTGAATGCCATGCCAGTGTGTAAGCCCAGCTGCTGGCTCTCCTTAATACTCACATTCATTTGAGCTGCTCTCCACTCTGGCTCTCCTCTAGACGAGGCAAAAGGGCTGGAGAAGATGCACATTCCCTCAAGGCAGGGAAGGCTGCATTTTCATTTCTAAACTGATCTAGGCTTCAGCATATAGTTATGCTGAGCACTGTTGAAACTCCTTACAAGTGAGATCCATCTGTTTTAAGGCCTCACTTACAGTAATTCCCACAGGTTGTGAGCCAGGAATCCCTTTCCCCCTCACCACCTCTTTACTGCAACCACCCAGCTACAAACCTTGGCCCTCTTGATATGCTCTCTCAACTTTGCAAGGAAAACATTTCCAAAGGCATGCAGGCAACCTGACAAAAGACCAAGAGATTTACCATGTTCGGGTCACCTGGTCCCAACTGGGCCAGAACTCAACTACCTAAAACCAACCCAAAAGCAAATGCAATTCTTCAGGGTGAACCCTCTGCCTGAGATACCTGGAGATGTGAGACACTGTGCAGGCAGGACGTGCTGGTTTAACCTGTTGGGAGCTCTGCAAAGGGGCTGGGGGCTGCTGCTGCACCTGTTCTCCAGGCAGCTTTGGCTCCCGGAGATGAAGGCTCAGAATCTCATTGCAGTATTAGAGAGGAGGGGGAGGGGGGGATTGATGTGTCATTCCCAGCAGCTGCTTCATGTCCCTGCTGGAAAAAGGGCATAGCTGTGGAACGGTGGGAAGACAGGGGTCCAGCAATTAACGTGGCAGTCCTCTGCTACATACTTCTTGTGTTAGCCTGATATTTTGGAGAGGTCGGGCTGGGGAGGGTGATTTTGGGAAGGACATTAGGGGATTGCAAGGCAGGAGAGGCATGGGTTGAACCTAGCTGGGAGGCTCTGGCTGCAACCTATGTGCGAGGGGGTGCTTCAGAGCTGCCATGCGGGAATGGGGGACGGGGGGATAAATTATCGAGCTTCGGGTATTGCATTTTAATGCAGGAAATGTTCCTTCTCTCCTTGTTTTTTGCATAGCCACAAAGCTCTCAGTCTGTGCCGAGGCAGTGCCAAGCTCCCAGCCCCCCTAATAGAAGTTGCTTTGTGGAGGAATGTAACATTGACACGTTGTTAGGAGAGGATTTTCTTTAAGGGCAGCCAAGCCCCAGTGCTGTGGGAGAAGAAAAGCTGAACTTGCTCCAGCTGCCGCGGAGCCAGCGGCCAAGGGCAGGGCAGGGGGAGGGGTGGGGGACACTTTCGGTGTCCTGCGGCTCCGCGCCTCTCCCGCCACCCAGCATCCCGGGAACAGAACGATCCTAACGGACGGGGGAGGCTCGGCTGCTGTAAAAACCTCCCAGAGAAGCGGCGGCAGGGATGGTATTTAACATCGTTTAGAGCTAATTATTGCCCAGGGAGGCGGAGGCAGGCCCGGCCGCAGCAGGCGGAGCCGGGCAGGAGCCCCGGGCGCTGCGCGGGGGCGCCTCCGCCTCCCCCGCCCGGCGCGCAGGGCTCGCAGCGCCCGAGGGCGGCCACGGGCGAGAGGCACCGCCTGCGCTCCCTCGGTCTGCGCTGTGTGAGAAATGGGAGTCACGGGGGAGCCACGGAGCCCTCTAGAAAATAGGAACGCCGCAGAGCGGAACGCGCGCAGGAACCGGAGGGGCGGTGCGGGGGTCGCTCCACGTTCTGAGCCTCACCAGGGTCCAGCGGGACCCCGCGGAGGGGCGGGCGGAGCAGCCGTCGCTGCCCCGGCGCCGCGGGAAGCAGTGCCCCCGAGGGAGAAAGGCGCATTTATCCCCTCCTCCTCCGCCCCTGGCTCTGATTACCATCCTAAGGCAATCCACGTCCCTGGTGGGGCCGGGGACGAGGGAGCGCGGGCACAGGGAGTGCATAGGCCACCGCGTGCTTTCACATCTTTCTCCAAAACATGCTAAATTCCAAGGGGATGCGTGTCTCCAGGTTAAAGCATCTACTTCAGAAAGGTGGTTATTGGAAAGAACAGAGGAAAGTTAGGGCAAACACTTATTTTGTTTTTTTCTTCCCTTAAATTTTGAAACACGTTCCCAGCATATTTTGCTTCCAGTTACAGGCATATTTTAATTCTTGCCCCTACTTGTGCGTTTTCCTGCATATGAGCTTCAGAAATGGCATTGTTAGAGGGGGTGGAAATTTCACATGGTAGGTAGAAGGTTTGCTTTGCTTGCTTTTCACTGTATTTAGTGGGTTTTTTGGGTGTTGCTGAGAATTTTAACATTATTAAAATTATTTCACACTTTAATTGCTTTAATGCACTTGGAAATCAGTCATCAGATTGTTACTCGTAGTTATAATCAGTTTGCAAATTAAGCCTAACAGTGTTTCTCAGTAGCAGTAAGGGTTTTTTTGGGATTTTTTTTTTTTGTGTGTGTGTGGTTTTTTTGGTTTTTTTTATCTTCCACTCAGTGTTTAAAGCATTTTTCCTGTTCCTCAGAAGGCTAAAAATCTGCAAGAGAGGTGTGTTGAGTCGTTCTTTTCTGTAGATATAGTCACATTCATTAGGCACATCAGTCAGTGTATTTGTCTGTATAAAGCTAGTTTGTAGTTCAGTTGAAAGCTTTATTGAGGGATCAAAATGTAGAACATTCTTGCCACAAACATGATGCAATTCATCACTTCTGTCAACAAACATTAAGGCAAGAAATACAAATTTTGTTTTCACAGACAATCTGATTCAAGTTATATTGGCACAAGTAGCATAAATAAGGTAGACCAATAAGTAAGAGAATGGTTGTTAGGGTTCTTAGTGACAACAGAAAGCACAGTTTTGCCAGTGCAAGTTGAGTTTTAAAGAGAATGGAGTTTACTATTGAGAAAGTGCTCTGGATTTGATAAGACTCTGTTTTATGAATTTGTGTATTACTTTTAGGTTTCATACTGACGTTGCCTAGCAATGATTTTTGGAAAGGAATTGCAGAGACCTGACAGCTTTCTACAGTATTATGAAAACCCTTCTATCCTTCAGATTTGCTTTCATCAAGCTTGACTGTATGAAGTGCAAAATCTCTTCCCAAAACTATTTTCAGTCCTGTTTTAGAATAGAGAGCATTTAGATTAAAGCCTACTGTTTCTATTTTGAATCTCTGAAATTTTGAATTTGACAAATGGCTTAGAGAAATGGATGAAAGTCAGTATTTTTCCTTTTTAAGAAGTGTTGCATTTTACAAAAGATATGACAAGTATACAATGGATGATTGTGTTTCTAAATGTGCTGAAGTGCTGAACAATAAAAGGAACTAGGTCAAAAAAAGAAACTATAACTGTTACTTTTTAATAAAATAGTTTGGAAATAAGGTGGTTTATTCAGCATTTCTTCTGTAGATAGATTATCTTAGGTGTCATTGATTAAAGCAATATTGAATATCACTGCATTTTCACTAAGACCTGGTTTCTTTGTATCTAGATCTGTTTCTGTAGCCTTACATTTGAGATGCTTAGCCTAGATCAAAGCATTTGCAAATAGATCTCAGTACTCTTATGGGGTCCTGAATTTACGGGCTATGGGGATTTTGTCCTCTTGATTTTCAGTGCCGTGACTGAACTGTGTCATGAAGTTTCTGTCTATAAGACAGGACTCAGTTCCAAATCTAGTGGACCTGTAAAACCTTGGCATGTAGTCAATCCATACAATTTTCTGAACAAGGACAAGAAAATCCCAAAATGTCTTTTCTTTCTGTGGCCATTGCAAAACTGGAATATTATTGTGGGGTTTTATAAAAATTACTTAGACAGAAACTATAGACAGTTTTCCCCCATGTTTTACTGCCAAATCTGAATGGGACCCTCTTAAACAACTGAATTAATTTCTTGTCTTCTTACTTCCAACAGGAGAAGAGAGGGGATCCTCACATTCATTTAATCTCAGTATTTGGAGTTCCAGGCTTAATCTTTTATGTTTCATTCAGACAGTCTAAAGTAGTTTTAGTGGGGATTTTTTTATTATGCTAGAAATGTAACTTTGGTCTACTTTGTAACAAATTCTAACACCGCACTATGTACCAGCATCGTAGTATTCAGTAATGATTTATTTATTTATTTAATCCTCTTAACAGAGGATTAAAATAATTTATGCCACACTGTTGAAAACTAGTAAGATGTAGGATGTAGATAGTTTTGTGGAGCTTTCATGACACATATGCTTTTACTTATATATCATTCCATGAATGCCTGATTCCTGTTGCACACAGTTAGGATGAATTAATAATATTCACCACATACCCAGAGATCACAAGCTGGGTGAGTAGGCTGGACATCCCTAGTCAGGAAGTCATAATCAGTAATACCATGTCATATTATGGCCCCATCAGAGGATTTAAACTGTGAAATCAGTGCAGGCTTTGTCTAGTAACAACAAAAACTACAAAATGGAGTCCCACAACCTTACACTTCTAGAGGGCTATTTAGTATTTAGTGTGCAATGATTAAAGCAAAACTTAGAAAATCCAAAATAGATAAAAACGGTTGTCCAGAATACTGAATGAGTATAGTAACATACTTGGAAGACTCTTAATAGTTTTTATATCCTGCTGCTTGCTGTGGCTCATTTATTCATGAGTTCAAGGGGACAAAGGAAGATAAGCAGTAAGGGAAGAACATACTTTTTAATTTTGCATGAAAGGTATTTTTTATTATGACTTACAAAATATTGTTTACAAACTTTAAACTGATACTCTAAAATAACCTGTTACCATGCAGGTCATGAGCATCTTGTTATCACTCTGTTACAAGCAGTTTGATGTCAGTAAAAATCTAGACTGTAAAGAAAAATAATTTCACTTTAAGTATTTTTTTTTTTTTACATAAATATTGTCCCTCCTAAAATGCTCATGGCCAAAAACATCACAAAATCAGTTAAAGGCATTCTTTTTGTTAATCTGGTTCCCAGTGGAAGAAAAATATTTTAAAATCTCCTGTGGATTCCAGTGTGCTTTATAAAATGCCCTTTTTGACTTCTTTTGCTAAACTAAAATGATCACCGTAAAAATTTATACTTTTAGGACATATTTGAGTCACTCGGAGCCA